TGTTTGCAGAACTGCACCAACGTTAAGCAACATAAGCCATAACGCCACCACCACGAAACTGGTGCTATCCAAGGCGGTCACACATGATGGAAAATAACCATAGAGTTAGCTAATCATTTTTCACATCAGTATGCAACCAACTTTTGACGGAGTGACTCCTGTATTTACATACTCGTTTCGCTTCATAAGAACCCTGAGGTTACCGTTTTTACCAAGAAACGAACGTAGGTTACTGAAACTTATCCGTGGGACTTGCGTTTCATCGATAGAGCAACGACTGGGACTAGATTGCCAATCAGCACAGTGCTTTCGCGTGTCCATAGTTTCTCTTCAAAATTCGTTTAAAAAGTCTTCCGATTTTGTGACCATATTAGATTAGATTTCTGACAATAGCCTGTAGTTTTTAAAAGATTGATCGAATAGAACCTAATTGACCTTGATACCAGTTCAGAAAAGCAAGTGTTTCAAAAAGCAAGTAAAACGCATAGTCCACAGACCAGTGCAAAAGAGTGTTCGAAAGAGAACAGCATCAGCCGAATTTGAAGGCCAAGCCAACTGATAGATCAATCATTCAATTCATCAGCTGTATGTTATCTTTTTACCAACACCATCAAATATGCTTACTCTTCTGTCCCGAGGAATCTTATGAGTACCGTGAATTCTTCCCCTGTTGTTGTGTACAGCAGAATCCTGTCAGTGTCGCATGTTTCTGGTCGGTTGTGTTTGCATCGTCTTTACAGGCCCCATTGTTTCTACTTTAGTGTATGGATGAGTGTGGTTTTTCTCACAAAATCCGTTCCAGTTACTGCTTTACGTCTCTGCTGTTTCCTCGTCTTCCTTTCACCTAATGCTCTTAGTGCTTTATTATCCGGATGGTACACGGTTTCACTGAACACATCACCATCTCTATACCACCTTACGTGGTCCAAATTCGTTCCCCGATTATTCTGTTGCTATTCCAACTCGACCATGCCCATCCGTATTCTGTCAACACTTTCCTGATCTGATGTTGTTTGTTGCCCACACACAATTTAGCCCCTTTCATTATGTACATGCAGTAGAACTTGCAAATCACTAACTGAGATCCCAGTGTCGAAGTGTGGCCACACTGCCTTCCAGAGAGTGCACTCAACTACCATTAGATCATTTAAAATGTGTTGTATCACAGCTGTTCCCTTATTCACACTTCCGCTTGCTGATTCCCCTTATTCTCTGACCGCTTGCTGGATCATCCACCGCTGCTGTTTGCGTACATTGGTGCGTAGCTGACTGTCACACACACTGACACCGTCACGCTTAACCCCCATTTTGTATATCACAGCTGGAAACCGATCGAAAATTTCATCGATGATACTTTTGAGCAGTACTTCAAGGATGAATGTGGCCTCAATCGGAAAAACATTCACGATAACCGGGTTCACTGCTGTTTGTACTTTATCTCGCCATACGGGCATGGGTGAGTAGTGTCCACTGCGCGTTCACACATGTGTACTTTTGAGTTTTCCTCACGTGTTGTGTCCTCACCTGTGTTATGTGCGGTCATACTGCGTATTTTTCATTGCAACGTGGTCATTCACCTTACTTTTTGTTAGTGTATATCTGTTTTCACTCCGCATGTATTTCGCGCACCTCGGGTGAGCGCAGGCACACAAGCTCATTCCGGTTGCGTTTCATCACTTTTCAGGCAGTTCACTTCGTTAACTTGCAATGCACTATTTTGCTGCCCCCTCATCAGCCACTGTATCCCAAAATTTTCACTAACCCACTAGTCTTTACACTCGCATTGCTCCTCAATTGTAGCGCTGTTCACTAGGTTAAGCTACCCTTTTATGTACAAGCCTGGTTCCCTTAAATTGCCCGACTATGTACAACCGCCAGTCACACAACAATCTTTGTTCTTGATCGGCTACATGTCAAGTGTTGTTGCCCGCTCACCGCACCTACACATTCCACAACCAGATTTGTACTTGGTTACACTCTTCAGATTTGGATATCAGATAGAGGATACGGGCTGACGTCTAGATCTATCGGTCTGTGGGCAGTGCTTGTCGCCGATTGGTGGGTCGTTTTGGGGCCTCGGTTCTATCTATGGGTGGTTTGTGACGCGCCATCTTGATTTGGATTTGGATTCACTTCGAAATGAATCCCAATCCATTCGGTCACTGGAACTCGTCAGTGCGGACGAACAAAGAACCGATTAGCAAGTGGTGTTGCATGCGGACAGCGCCTATAGACCTGTATTTTGTCTACCGGCTGCAAATAGACATGGGGCTATCACAAACCAACAAAATCAAAGTAGGTACCGTAATATGGGGTGACTATGGTCCACTTTTGGGAAACATTGTTAGAAAACACCTCTTAAATTTTGAAGATCCAATTAATTTTTTCTGTATTTTAGGGGGAGCATGGTAAAATGCAAGTTAGGATGGCATTTAGTCATACAGAAACATTTTTTAAAGAAAGTAGGGGCATAATTGATGGTGGCCAAAGTCACCCTGGTATGGGGTGACTTTGGCCGCACAACATCAGCTTCATTATAACTAAAGTGATACCTACACTAGGGTGTCAATGGCCACTAAAATGCAATACCTGTCACCGTAGCTTTATATTACACACACAATCCAACATTTATCCCTTTTAATTTTGAAGTGTTAAATATAGTACCGGTGCGTACCACTAATATTGGTATGAAAAACAAGCAAGAGGAAAAAATTGATAACTTTATTAAACTCGCCACAATACATTTAGTGGTACCGAAAGGATAGCATGATTTATTTCAGCGAAAATGATCAAATATGTTCCTGTTCCTGGCTTCTTCAGCGGGTGTCCACTCGTCTTCACTGGACAGGTTCAGCTCTTCATCCGATGGAACATCTGACACATTTGCCACCTCCGCAGTTTCTGGTTCTGCCCTTCCTGCAACTGCCTCTGCTACAGATTCTTGATCTTGAGGGACAACAATGCTCCTCCCAGGAACTACATCAAGCTTCTTCCTTCTCATCTTCCTGACTGGCCCGTCATTGTCACCATTGCGAAGACGTTTCAGATGTTCTGTAAACCCTTCAGACACAGAATTGTTGAGGTTCTCATTGAGTGATTCTTGTGGCAAACGGTTGAGTACAGGTGTTTTGTCAAAGGGATAAACGCCACACTTTTTAAAGCCTGTTTTGTGGTTCTCTTCTTGGTTTGGCAGTTCAACCATGAGCATTTTCAGCAGCCTTGGGAACACATCTTTTGATATCGTTCCCGCACTATTTTTCTCTGCCAGCTTGTACTCTGTCAGAATGCACCTCCACTTAGCTTTCATTGGTCCAAAATAAGCAACATCCAATGGCTGCAGAAGATGTGTTGCATTTGGAGGCAGACACACAAATGAAATGTTATTTCTGTCACACTGAACCAATATTTCATTGCTGAAAGGTGATGACAAAGTATCACCTATTAAAACTTTCCTGCCCTCCAGACTCTTACAGTAGGGCAGAGCCATTGGTTTGAACCAATCGACGAAGCAGACATGGCCAAACCAGCCATATTTGGATTGATTGAAACTGGCTTTGTGTGGGCCTCCTTCAATCCAAGTGCTCCATAGATGTTCAGTTTTGTAGACCTAACTTGGTAGAATTTTCCCAACGGCGGATCCTGCCGACATCAAGCTCGTGGATGTCTTAGTTGAATTCATCACTGTTTCTGGATAACGAACTCCCCTCTTGAAGATGAGACGCTTGCTTTCAGGGTCATCAGTTAGATTCGTCTCATCATATTTTATGATGTTTTCTGGAGGCACACCATCAAGGCTTTGTTGTAGCTCAGAGAAAAATTTCTCAGTGCTTTCTCTGTTAACTTCTGTCTTCTTGCGAGAAATGTTCTGACACATTCAATTTTTTTATTCTGTCCTCGTACCTGTCCATAAAACCGCTACACCAGTCCTCACCAGGTACATTGTCTTTAAACAACGGCACAGATATCCCCTCCTTGTCCAGAATTCTCTTCAGTCATTAGGAGATGCATTGTGTCAAATGGAACATCCAGATGGACAGTTGGAGCAAGTACTTCATTAGGGAAGTCTCTAACTCAGCAGAGAGCACAGTCTGGTCACCAGGTTTCTTTACAGTCTTCTCAAACTTGTCCACCCTGAGATGGTTTTGGAACGAAGACCGTGCTATGCCATATTTCTTACACACATCACGCTGGCTTGCTGTCCCATTTTTGTATTCTTCTATGGCTTGAACCATGGTGACTGACGAGACAGTGTTGTATGGGCGAACTCCAGGTTTCGATTTGTATCTTCTAGGCATAGTTGGATCAGCTTGGGCTGCTAGGATAAGTCTGGAAAAAAATTAAAACAGAAAACCTAGCTTCAACAACAGACTCAGACAGCACAGTCTTAAGATGAGTCACACAGCATAAAAAGCATGTTCTGTGCGGTATAGAGTAAAGGTGGTTTACACACTGACACTGGTTAGTTCTATGATTACCGGGGTGACTATGGCCACCCTCCTACTAAGCTAAAAAATTAGTTAAAGTAATAAGACAACATATAAATAGCTTTTGTAATTAAAAATTAATGTTTTTAAAGTATCTGTTGCTACTGATTGTACCATACTTACAGATTTACAACAGGTAGTTCCACACGGCAAATGTTTACATGTGGGGGTAGTTGTCTTTGTTGAACTGTATTTCTACACAAAATGTTTTCTGCGGTTCTAATGTTATGTTCACTTGCAGGCATAAAGTATAGAAGTTAATCCAGACGAAAAATACGTTATCTAAACCAAATAACTAGGGGAAAATATTAGAAAACATTTTTAACATGCTGGCCCATATTCACCCCGAGTGGCCACAACCACTGCATGTAATGGTCAGCTATCGTACAGAGAAAAAATCCAGGCGTCACACAGAGCAATCCATGGCTTCTTCAGAGGGCATGGCACTACTTGTTTGCTTAAACCAAAGTAGGAAGTGGACTTAAGGGACACCATCCTGACCATTTGATTGAATGTCCTACGCGCAAGGAAACGGTTTGAACTGATGGAATCGCGTCCTTTGAAAGCCGGTGACCGATTTTTCAGTTCATGCTCCTTTGGTTTGGTGAGTTGCCAACGAAAAGCCCCATTGCATCTCGCATCCATCATCTGGACCAAAACACCTCACCGAGGTGAAGCAAGGGGCAGTGGCTTTACTTCGGTGGCGTGTCACATCCGCTGCATCGCAGTTTTGTGAAACAGGCATTCGTGGCTTTTATTGAGAATGTGTTTGTTAGGCAGATGCCTACCACTTCCTAAACACTACAGTCGAACCATTTGATAGAACGGAATAAGCTAGAACCACCCAGCTGGTACTACGAAGAGATAGTTCTGCAACCCAGTAACCGTATTCCCTGAGGTTCACTTCAAAGTGAATAGTGGCCCAGATTGTGTATCGCATTGCACCGACAACAGGGGAGATTCAAAATGAATTTCCAATCACTTTTATTTTATTTTTTGTAATACAGTCACTGGAATTCCGCTCTGCCTCACCCACCTTTGAATGTGTTGTTGTTGATAACATACTTCCTGGATAGCTCCTTTGACCTATGAGTCAGTCGACTGAAGCAGTTCAGCGTCACGATCTGTATTCTCATATACTACATGCTGTTCCGAATTACGTATCACTTGAGTTATCCCCCTGTTTACAAGACTACTCTTCATGCTGTGGAATATGCATAAATCCAACAGTGCCTCTTACATACTCCTGTGGCTCTGAGAATTTTCCGCGTCCCCTGGCTTGTGTGCTCTTAGGGCTGTTTTAATCGAACGCATCTTTTGACATGTCGCTCCTCGAGGCATTTGATCTATTCTGTGCATCCGCCATTACCAGAACCTTTGTAGCGTTCATTTTCACTTGGCCTTACTGCTTTCTAGATTTAAACGAGACCATCTGACTCATAGACCTCTCCTCACTCCGAACCTGTCCGCATTCGATCACTCCACCGCTATCCGAACACAAATGCGTCCAAACGAGTTTCACTTCGCCATCACAAGCATTGTTCCATAGCCAGCACGTTCAGTTGATTGACGGTGTCATCATGTGCTAGAACCAAGTAGCTGATTGACGACCCATTGGGTCTGTGTACAACTTTCGATTTTCACATAATTTTATAATTCTGGTGATGAATTCTCGATAACCCGTTTACTTACAAAGACTTGCGTTAAGTTTGTCGGCTCTAGCACCACCCGGGTTATTTCTACCCACTGGATTCAAACAATGATGAAACTAATGGCAAAATTCGATGCCACTGCTCTAATAACCTCAAGATATGTCTTTTTTCTGAGTCGAATAGGGTCCCGATACGCGTTAGGATACCGGCACTAACTGTTATTATTTGCTGTGACCCATATGACATAACACTAGACACTCCTTCTCGACCAACCTCAACTGTGGGACCAAAGATTGCAACTTTCAGCTACGAGGTTTCCTTTTCTGTTGGTTCGAAGCCATTGTAGTTTTACTCAAAAAGATGCGATCTTGAGTACCAGTTTAGCAACGGCGATAAAGCAACCCATACGGTAAGAGTGGAAGCTGCAGGTTATTTGTAAGTTTCTGGTGGTCTTCGCCCATTGTTTCTTTTTAAGGAAGTGTCAGAGCCTTTGGCAGCTTCCTCGTCAATCAATGAAATTTTTTTCTGAATTCCAGACTGACGGTTACGTTTTGGTTAACCGATTACGAGTGTGCTCTCTTAAGTGCTTCAAACTCAGTTGAATATGTTTGTACTGATTGTGGGACCCAGTGTTCTCTCTATGCGGAAATCTCTCAGTTCTCCAATGAATCAGCGACTAAAGCTATCGAAACGTTCTAGCCAGATGTGGCATATGAAAAGATTATGTATCTCAGTTACTACACCAAAAGATGTTTAGCTAGATTCATATGAATAACTGTAGTACTATCACGGTTCGCTTACATAAATATGTTTCTCACTTCTGTTAACCTTGGCATACAACCGGTCTAGCCCCTGAATTCCTCGATCTTAACAATTTCCGCTACCATCCTTCAATGCACACTCGTTCTGTTTGTGGTTCATACAGCAACACTGTGCGCGGCACATCGTTGTTCACTGTACGTTTGCTCGACGGGTCGATATCTTGCTGTCACACTGAGCCTTAGAAAACCACACCCTACCGTTGTATATGATTATCTCCGGGGCTACCAAAGGTGACTTAGCTCGGTGGACTGATCGGTCACTTCTATCGTGACAATCTCCGACGTTGTGTCCAAACGGCACTTAAACGGTACCTTGCGCTTCGAAAGTGTGAAACATATCGAATTGTGCAGCGCAGTACGCCATTCCAGCTAAAGTTGTTTGCACAGCAGGGAGGTTAGCTGTGGGCGCTGTCTTCCACGCGTTTAAAATCCGACAACTAGTCGCCAAATATGGCGGCCGGTGACCGGAGCGAATGCGCATTTGCCTTGTTATCTTAATGTCATCAGTTCGAATTCGCGTAGGTACGGGCGACCTGGCAGTATATCCAACCCTCGTGTGGTTGTTGGTGATAGCGTGGCAACGAAGCTTCGGTACGGTTTGCCGGCGTATTGCGGATGCTTTATTTATGTCATCCGAGTAACTTAGGCAGAACGCCTACTCCAACAGGGACAGAAAGGATGGATTACTTCACAATCAAATTAATCCTTCATACATATGCAGAGATCTGGAGAGGTTGACGACCTGCGCCGACACATCCCACTTGTCCTGAGGAGCTCAAGTTGCACACTACTATGGACTCATTATGGGGATTTTTTTAATAGGGAATCGTTTATTCAATGCAGTTCTCGAAGCGGTATGTGGCGACAAACAGGCTTTGTCAGTTGTAACAGTGACTGTGTTTAGTTCGCAGTAGGTCATACCATTGGGTTGTTTACATGCGTAATACCTTTCAGTTACAGTGTGAACATTTCATGTGATTAGTGCACTTGAGTCGGTACCAGTAGGCCTTTCGTTGCCTAGTGCTGCTTTGATATGGTCAATGTGAGTTTTTGAGTGCATAGGTGTGTACGTTGCAGTTGTCACGCGCATCAATTCTAGAAGGACCCAGAATGACGGTAAGTATCTCATGTCCGTTGGCTAAAGTTGCATTCCCGATATGGTGTCGGACACCGAATGCCGACGTGTCTGACGAAATCTGCGATAGTGTTGGTGTATGCGAACGAATTACTTTCATAGCAGATGAGATTTGGAAGCTGGAGAAATATTAGCACTAGGAACACGATTAAGGGTAGCGTCACCAATCGCGGATAGATATTATTTTTTGGTAGTCCACCTATGCTGTTTGCCCTAACAAACTAATGTGCAGTGCGGTGAGATCCTCGGCTGGTTGACTGCTAGTGACGATCAAGTTACTCTGACTTTCGACTCTCCTATTTCAGACTGTTATTCACCTTAATAATCAATGTGCCCTCTTTTCCGAGGATTCCTCTTGGAATTTTCTACCCGTACACTGCTGTGTACCAATTCGTCGGGCCTTGGGCCTAATTTGTCCTCTTTTTATTATGCTACAACAGCTGTGGATGATGGTTGTCCAACTGTACTGCCGTTTCGTGTGCTGACATGGTTAGTGTAGCAAACCGACGATGATTACGTGAAGGTCCTTAGGGGAACTAGCAACTTTCCCTTACGAGATCGTTTTACAACATCCCAGTATTGTTGTTGACACCCCTTACGTACGCGAATCCTTGTTTCGAGAAGACACCAGGTGTCAAACATTCTGTCTCCCACATCTTTTTAGTACCAACTTCCCGCATTTCTATACTCAATATTTTACATATCAGTGGTCTGCCGCGAAAATGAACCAATGCGATCGAATCTCGCGATTTATATCGTTTGTTATGCGATTGGATTAACCGTTTTTTCATTCATCGCGCTTCCGGCCACGGAGCTGACCACACTTCCGCTGTGCCATTTCGTCTGTGATTTACTGTGTGAACGCCTGCTTTAGGTCTCGCGTTATTCATATTCTCCGATACACACCTTGTTTCTCAATTTTCTTCGGTTTTGTGAATACATCCTTTGCTGAGCACTTCACTTCCCCCTTGAGTGATGAAATCTTTCCATCTCCGTTCAGATTGCGCCCGGTGGATGTGGAATTTATGCGTCGGTTACAGCACAAAGTGAACATTGTGCCGATTATCGCCAAGGCAGACGCTCTCACCGCCTCGGAATTGCGCACATTCAAGGAACGCATCATGGCTGATTTCGATCGCTACAAAATCGATATTTACCGTCTTCCGGAATGTGACAGTGATGAGGAAGACGAGATAAAACAGTTAGACAAAGAAATTAAGGTGCGCATTCGCCGTGTGTGTTCATGTGTTCCATTTTCTGCTCTTTCGACTGGCACCTTGGTCTTTGTTGGCTGAAAGGTCTCTCCACTCTGTTCCTGTGACTTAATCACTGAATTTGTGAGCAGCTATTTTCCGTGTAAAATTACGCACTTGTACTTCGCTCGAAATACCGAATTCAAATCCATGGGCTAGTTCGGACAGTGTGGTCATACTTTCTTGACAACATGCTGAGACCTTATTGTGTGCAAAGACATGTGAGTTGCGCTTGTGCATATTCGGGGTGACCTATTCCCTTGTGCTCTTAAGTGACTGTTTCGCTTCTCTGCCACTTGTGGCCATGGATTCCAGGATAATCACTTTGTGATTCCGCTCGGAATCGCTGTCAGTTTTTCGCCACTCATTGCGACTGTGCATGACTATATGCTACACTTTTTACAAAACGTTTACATTAATGCTAGCTTCGTGAACTTTAGCGTTCTCCTTCTGCTTCGGTTTTTCTCATATTTTTCCTCATCCCGTTTTACTTCGATCTAGGAGCCTTAGAATCTAAATTGATTCCTTTGATCGATTTCGTTTATTCGCCAATTAGACAAATCGATAAGTTGGCACACGGAACACTTTCCCAGTTATGGAACTAACGCTTGTATAGAGAAGCAGTAACATCCATTTTGCAAATCCTACTAATTTTAACCGGTAACTAATTCGTGATTTTGATATCGCAACCAGCGTTTTCTAGATATGCGCAGTCACATATACCCGGTGTCATGAAACGCCTGCACCTGTTTTGATCGATTTTCGAATTTGGGGTCCGACTTCACATATAGTAAACTTGACTTGCAAATCACAACTTTAATGGAGAAAAGGAGATTATCTGATGAAAACACGAGTTTCACACATCGTGCATTGATTAACGGGGTTAAATTGAAATATCAGTTGCTCGACGTCATTAGCATCAAGTATAGTTTATGTTGCAAATCCGTTTACCATTCTTGGCATTGGGTCTCAATGCAGTCTCTCTGGGATTTGTAAATGTTTACCGACACATTTCGATTGTAAGCGAATACGACGAAGATCTGGGGGGGGGGGCTAAATAATGAAAGACCGTGAAGCCTGGCGGTCTTATCGCTCGTCGTAGATGGCAACGGTCGATTCTTTCGGTAGCCGACGGAAGTTACTCCGTCTGATACTGAAAACGAGCAGCTTCTTTATTGGCTAGTGATTATCCTGCTCCCTGGGCGGTCCGCTTGAATCCGTCCTTTTTGCGAAGAAGTCGAACGTGCAATTAAACTGCTAAGATTGAATAAGGATACCGAACCAAACGAACTTCCTCTGGCCCTCCTCAGATTGGGAGGTCCAACATTTTTAGATTAATTTAGTTCATCGTACTTCGATTATATGCCAAATAGGCCAACTACCAATCCAAAAAGCATCAGAGAGCCGTTTCATCTTCTTGAAACTTGTTAGTGGTGCGCATTCCCTCGGTCTTCTTCAGGGAACTGAACCCATGACCACTAGTGGCTTGCGCCACTGGCCAGCAGTTTACGCCATTTGTGAAGCTGTTGGGGACAGGGAACTGTTAACCAACTGGAGCTACCCCATTATGCTATCGACTATCACTGGAGAAGCGTTTACTAACAGAAGATGGCCATCACTAATACATTGATCTGATCTCCATCAGCTCCAAGTTATTTCCCTCTGTCTTTCCTCATAGACTGGATGTTTCTCATAGAAGCCGGGTTCTTTCGGAATCGAGGCTGCGTTGACCAAATCTTCGATTTACCTCAATTGTTGGAGCGCCGCCATATTTATTGGCGACCCACTGTCGTCTTGTTCCTCGACATTAATTGTGCATCCGTGTCGATTGATCTATGTGTCATTTGCGACTGTTTGCTCAGAAATGGTGTGCCTGAGAAACCCGCAAACATTATCATGGCACTTTAAGCGTGTATTTCGGGCAGAGTTATGGCTTATGACCCATGTCGTTGCCCTTCAATATCTCCAGCGGTGTGAGATAAGAATAGCCGCTGATACCCTTTCGTTTTAACTTTGCTATTGATGAATTTATCGAGATTGTGCTCACTGAACACGATATGGGGCTGCTACTAGGCGAACAACTCTGCTTGAAGTACACTGACGATATATGACATTTTCATCTTAAACTGGACGTTGTGCTATTCAAACTGGACACAACTTATTTTAAGTGGAAAATCAATTTGTTAGCGAAGAATGGGGAGTAACGCGACTGGACGATGTTCAGGCCACATTGTGGTTACGCTAGTGCAACCCGAACTGTGCAAGAATCGGGCGGTTATACAAGCCCTTGTTTGTGGGTGTCGTTTACCTCAATCAAAGGCAGTGGTGACCCAGCTTTCCTCTATCTCTCTATAGGTCTTCGCGTATTTCGTGTGGGTGTGTGGGCAAATCTATGCAGCTGCACGACTATTGGAGCAATGTAGGCTGTTGTGATTCCACCAAACACTGCCTAACTTTATTAGCTTTATGCTGCATGAAACGACCAAATGTGTGACAAACAACGAGAAGATGTGTCGCCGAAGCATCGACGATGCAATTGAACGTCCTCTATACAGAAAGAGATCCTTACCAAGCTTGTTTTCCTCGACGGTATAACTTCCCACAAAAGTATCGAAGTCGCTGAAGTTAACGAGAGCACGGCAAGAAACATCATCAACGCCTAATGTCGAGAAGCTACTACTACTACTAATAATAAAATATTGCTTATTCTCGGGTTCACGAGGCATGCTCTTTACGGTGTGATTAAATATTTTACAATCGTTTCGTATAATATTTACAGTCGGAAATAAAAATCATGTTTTTAACATCCATGGTTATCCAGTTCCAAGCCTTGAATGGGCAGAGAAAATTATTCATGGTGTCTTGACGGAGAGCTCTGTGTACGGACGTCACCCAGTTTTCTTTTCCTTGGGTAAAGAATGAGGAGCAATTGTGTGTTGGTAAGAGAAATATTGAAGCTGAACTCATATTTATTGAACATAGCATCTGATTTAGGCTAAACATTTTCTATACATTGTGGAGTTCTAGAAAATAGTAAGCACGCAGATAGCTATTAATTTTGTGTTCAGAAGCTGTACATGTGGGCTGCGGCAGATAAAACGGGAGTTTTGCTTGTTGTGTGTGTGAGGCGAACGTATTTGACACTTGTCTACTGGCTCAGACGTTCTGGTTTGACTGTACGCTAGGCGTAAACAAGTTAAAAGGAAAAATGAAGGCGTGATATTGGAAATAGGGGTGAAAATGTTGGCAGCAGCGCTTAGGTGGAGGAACCGACAGGGAGAGGCTGACTCACGATATCCTGCAGCGCGTTGAAGAACCCGTTAAACGTCATTCGTAGGACACTGGGTGCAGCTACAACAGCGGCTGAAAAAGAGTGGGATCCATCTTTACGTGTCTATAGTCTTGTCAAGTCCTTTCAAATATACTTGTTTTTGCTACTGATGCAGGCGTTAAGTTCGTTCAATCCGAATTGTTCGTTTTAGATATCTCAACCTGTTTGTGTATGCGGAATCAGCACGGGGTTTAGTGGGTTTGCTAGACCTGATTGCTACCCGGCTGCCGTGCCTGTGTGCATATTGCTTGAAGAGCGGGCTATGCACCAATAATGAGTCAACCTTGGGCACCGTTAGGCAGTTAGCAAATCTAGCCCACCTCACACCACTCGCTACGGTAAGCGCGATTTATCTAACTATCGTCTACCGGCGCACCGTTGCAGTTCCCATTTTACCATTTGAACATGAACACATTTTACCTGTACTGATAGTTTCACTTGCGTGTGTCTGTGTCCAATGTCGGCATATTTCGCCCAGATTCAAGCAATCGTCGACGCTATTAATACTTAAAGACTCTCTTTTCTTTCTAACGTGGGTGATGCTAATGGAGTATGCCGACGAGATTGCGGTCATTTGTGACTGCTCACAAACGTACCAAGCTGCATTGGATAAATTAGCTGTCTGTCAATCGTTTCTGGCTATGCATTGCTCCATCGAAATGCAAAGTCATTCCCCACGTTGCCAGGGTCCCACTCCTGCGCTGACCCTGGCGGGAATCAGCTAAAACTCGTCGATACATTTCAGTATCTGGGCAGCTATATTAGTGCCCGTGGGATTGACAATGAGATCACAATCCGCATTCCGAAAGTTCGGGATACTTTTGCTAATCTCCACCACCTGTGGCGCTTGCATGACATCACTCTCGTTCTGAAGGGCAGAGTTTACAATGCAGTCGTCCGTTCAACCTTCCTGTATGGTTACGAAACCTGGCCCAATAGATCAGCCGACATAAAGTGGCTAGTTACTTTCGACCATCGCTGCCTTCGAAGTTTAGCTCATGTCTGGTAGGAACACCGCGTGAACAATCAGCGTGTTCGGCGTCGTATATTTGGTGCAGGAAGAGCGAGTGAACCGCTCAGCACCGTTACATCACGCACCAGGCTCCGACTTGCCCATGTGTTGCGCATGCCGACACACCGACTCCCTCATCGTGCGTTGTTTGCGCGCCGGTGATGTGGATGGAAGAAGAGGAGGGGAGGGCAAGCGATGACTTGGTCGAGAGGAGCGAACTCCCTCACTTCGAAGTTGGCGTCGGTTGGTGTCTCTCGACTACCTGACTGGGGTCCCAAGGGCGATGAACACGTTTGCTCACATGACGAAGAGTCGACCACAATGGCGTTTGTATCATGAGTCTCTTTGTTCTTCCCCTTCCATTTAGCTTTCCTCTTTAACCACGATCTCAGCTCAAACATAATGTGCTTTCAACATTATGTTACTTTTTTAACTTTCGTAGTCTCTATTGTTTAATCTCTTACATTCGTCTACTGCGGCACATTAGCTGAGGTGTGTTTCTTACCCCCGGCTAGCCTGTATTGATGAGGATGAATGAAGCTAAAATTGTGCGTCTTCTGCAACGTCCTTCAATTATCTTCACTATTCACTTACGGATGCCCTCAGTATACGAACGACGTAATTCCAAACGACTCAGTTAGCTAGGTCAAATGGCTTCGTATGAAATCATCACTATTTACTGCACAATTCTATTTTCTCATTACGGCCCTATTTATTTCAGGTGCATGTAGAACAGGGATTCCAAACCTGGTGGTAATTACCCCCCCAAAAGGAATTTTACGAGGGGTAAAGGGAACCACAGGGGTTGTGTCAACTCTGAGTCATCTGTATCAACTAATCCAACTGTCTGCGTTATAACTAATGATTGGCCATTAGTGACAACTCATTAGTGATTGCTTAGTGAATTAGACTGTTTCAGGCAATTACTGTTATTGCCTACATATCGTATACAAACCTATAACGCAGTGCCGCTAGATGACTTGCCTATCAGTTCGATCGTTGTTCCTTTGAGTCAGGCAGTGCTTCGTCGCCCTATTTCCAGGTCCAGCAATAATTTCCGAAAACACACAACTGGCAACATTGTGGGCAGTTATTTTTGCTGATATCAATTATTGTCGTAGAAAACGTTCATCCCATTGGACTTGCGACAGTGTTGACAATGCAAACAAAAACGAGGAACCGACTTAACTTGAACCACGACTTACGATGTGTATTACTTGAAACTTCACGAAGTGTGCACAGTAGTTGCTAAAGATACACACTACCAGCCGTTTCATTCACCTATATTATCTCTTGATTCAGTGACACGATTGCTCAAAGTACGTGTTTTCGTTGTTTGAATGATCAAATTAATTAAAGAAGGATAAGTTTTTCGTAATTTACAACAACGGATGCAATAAACAATAATTACTTTGTTTTAAACTAACTTCTAGGGGTGTTCGTTTTTTATTGAACCTGCTTTGGAGTAATAGTCTAAAAAGGTTGAGAACTACTGATCTAGAAGGAGACGCTTGGTTACTTGCTTTTCTTTGCCGCTGGCACTGATTTCCACCCCCGTGACTTATTGTTTCACTCTCTTCCTTTTTAGAGTGTTCTGCCTTTCGCTGTGATTGGTAGTAACTGCGTCGTGGAGCAAGAAGGTGGTCGGCGCACTCGTGGACGTCAGTATCCGTGGGGCGTAGTGGAAGTGGAAAACGCGAAACACTGTGACTTCACGAAGCTTCGCATCTTTTTGCTCAAGTAAATTAACCTCTTACACCTTTGCTGTTTGTCTTGTCACAATTGACGCTCATCGATTCGTTCTTTGGTGATCTAATAAGGTATTGTAAGCCACATCAAGGTCTTTACTTAACCCAGTTAGTCACTGTGGTTTATAGCCTGGACGATTTAAACCGCTTCTGTGACAGGACGTTGTCCGCATATTCGACGTTCACATGCAATTGATGTGGGTAGTACTTACGGCACACAGCCATATGATGCGATCTATGTCCATGTTGCTTCTTCTCCTTCACTATGAATCACGCGTCATCGAACCGGTATTCCCACAACGGCGCACGCTAGCAAAGCGTGATTGACTCTGGACACCTCGGTGACATCAACGATCCAACACCGGGTAGTTGCTGCGTACGTTACACCCCACTCACTTATGCTGCCGGCCCTCAGCATTTAATACACCCAAGTTGTTTTTAACCATTTTCCGTATCAATTGCTCCACAACTCGGTTGCCTGGAGTCGTTGGATCTACCTCGAAGTTGTTCATAGGGCTGTATATTTTTTATTTCTCTATGTTACGTTTATTTACAATCTGAAGCAACATTTGTCGGATATATACCACACATTTACCAACGTTTGTACTTCGCCACCTTCCCTACTTCTCTTTTCCATTGTTGGCGACGACTGGGCCGATCTTCTGAGGTGACGAAATGAGGCTCCCTGATTATTCCATAAACCCATGTGTGGCGAAATGTCACAGACTTACTGGCGAGAATAAATCTGCCTACTCAAGTCATATTGGCACACACCCACACTGGTCGAGTGGAGAAAGTGTCAGATTCGAAAGAGTCAGAAACTGAAATGGTCTGAATGGCCTAAAAGAGTGTAAATAGTAAAAAATACGAAGATCTCATTTATCACTGCGAGCCTGTTATTCATCATACATAACAACGGCCCTAAAAATGAGCTAAAATTATGATGGCTTACTTGCTATTTTGCCACGCCGACACGAAGTCAAAAGAGGCGTGTAAATTCGGATGAAATCTTTCGAGGGACTAACTCCCATAGAAACCAGTCCCCAGGAGTCGGTCCCACGAATAGCCGTATTAATTCTCTTGAACTTTCTTCACTGACCGCTTTTATTCTACCTTCTTACCATTGTTACCCTTCGAACTCCCCGAAAGGCTCACTTGAAATTGCTCTGGAAAATTTAAGATAACATCCTCCCTTTGATATCATGTGTTGTGATCAGCCCAAGTAGTTGGACTGTAACTCTCACAGACGGGAAATATGCATACATACTTTCTATTTCCGGCTTGTTCGTCTGTTTATTGTGCAGGTCTGACGCCCACGCTTGATTTCGTATGCCTCTGAAAAGGTGCTTCATTTAATAGCCGTATCGCCACTCACCCATTCTTCTAGTCGCTTACTTTGCTATGACACCATTTCCGCATACCGGTACAACTGCTCCTTATAATCACTCTTCGTTCACTGGTTTTCGTTAGGGCATCAGTGTGCGCTTTCACAAACGGGTTATCTTACTGTCTTACAGTGAAATTGCCCCAGGCAGATGTCTGAAATCCTATCTAGTTGATCTATCCTAACGCATGTTGCCACTTATCGTGGTTTGTAGTCTCTACACCCCTGTTTCGAGCTCCTGTATTGGTTTAGACGGTCTTGTAGTATCACGGCTTGCATATTGCCGCTACGATAGCATTGCATCAAAGCATCAGTGCCAAGTACTTGTGTAATTCTGATACCACTTTTGCCACACCCGTTTAACCGTTGAATGAAGCTAATCTTTGTTTCGAAAAGGTGCCATCTCTGTGCGAATTGTGCCAATTACGTCCACTGATGTTTTCATTTTATTAGAATGAATCAAAAGATGCAGAATCTGAGTAAAGAATTCTTTTCGGTAATTCTCATCAGACTCAAACATTACATGATGACGAGAAAGTGCTAAATATGCCGGATTGGGCTGCGTATTGAACAGAATGTTTAATTTCAACAGGAACAAATCAATAAATTACGTGGTCATTGAAGTGGCATGTGCAGGGGGAATCACAGCCGAAGTTGTAGGCCATGGTAGAAGTGAAGGACGTACAAACTGTTTTCGTACGCACCATTCTGGCTTGAGATGGCGGATGTAGATAGCTTCCGCAATAGACAGAAGATGCTTCCGGAATCCGCGCGAGAAACGTTCAGGAACAGTATAGATTACTCTAAAATCATTTTCCGTCCCCGCGTGACTGCACTCTAGAATGCGACATAAGATGGAACTGTTAATGGACCTCGCTTCGCCTTTGTAAAACCACTGGGATGTGTTCGCGAATCCTATGAGATAGGCGCCTCGTGGTACGACCCACGTATCGTGCACATAGGAGCACGAGTAAAGATAAACAAGCATTGATCGAGTCACGGGAGGCAGCCTGTCTTCCAAACGTTTTGCGAATAAAGGCTTACTGTAAAATACTACGCGTAGGCGAGCCGCGAAATAGGTCTTTTCAACAGCGTCGTTCAAGCGTTTGGACAGGGTATCAGCCGCACTGTCGCCTTTCACACACCTTGCAGAACCCACCTGACCTGATCTGTTTGTTGAGTATCCCAGATAAAAACTCATTTGTACTCTGTTCTGACCTATTTAAATTTACGTAAGTTTGTAATTTCAGGTACAATCGCCGTACAAATGAACTATTTTTTCAAGGGGTCTGGTTCCCTTTAACCTTTATTTTGGTCGGTTGGTGAATTATTGAATGTATTGTTTTTAAGACCGAATCAAGCAAAATGTTCATACTCCAAACGGAAACCCGCTTCTGTCACATGTATGCTTGGTGGCCGAAATGCATTAGATTTCCATCTTTGGGTCAGCCGTGAGTTTCGTTTCTTTTTACCATATCTGATTGTCCATTTTAGTTGTGTGTCTTGTTTCTTCTCTCTCACCTACTTCACCACACCCGCATTATCATCATCATCAATATACATTACCTGATGGTGAGAAATACACGTCAAATAGTGTGCCGTAATACAAAAACATTAGGTACTGAAATCGGGATTGGCTTAGCTTTGAACCACGTAGCTACCCGCTTGGTCTTCAGTATAAAGGTTTCTTGAAAGTTCCTTCGCACAGCCGGTTCACACTTGGTCCCCATCGCACAACCGTTCGGTACCGTGGCAGTCAGTACTCCGCAGGTTATACTCCAGTACCGCCTTTGAATTCCGTCGCGATTTGAATTACCCCACATTACTCTATTATTTTGTCACTTCTCCCCCCTCTCTGTCTCTCTCACGCGTAGAACTCACATGCAAGATTTGAAGGACATGACTCTGGATGTTCATTATGAAAACTACCGGGCAAAATACATCACTGAGCGCATGTCGAAACGGCAAACGGACCGCCGAGAACTAGGCGGAGTGTGAGTTTTGTTCACGGGGCATGCTGATTTTTGCACTTCAACTTTCTGCCCCGTTCCGCTGTGCTGATGAGAAGCCACAATCGCACTTTGTGAAAATAATTCTAATGCTCAAGCGCTATACAGACACTGTGGTTTTTTAAGGACTTATAGCTTCGCATGTCTCGTTATCCCGTAACTTGCTACCACTAGTTGCTACTACCGTTTAAAATGTATAGCTGCAAGGAATTTTAAACAGCATGGTTGTTAGTTGTCTTATGACAGTTAATTCCAGTTTTTCCATACAAGTTTCGTTTCCTGAATACTGCTTCAAGTCTCTGGGGTGCTTACCATATATTATTAGCCACTGTTGGTGCGTTTGCTTACTTGGATGCCGAGTAGTCAACTATCCGGCTGTCTTGATTCAGTGGTTTGTGTATCGCCGTGATCCGTTTAGCTCTGTGCACAACACGCCGATGCATTGACAATAAGATTGTTCTAACCGGTGAATTCCCAGTTGACGTACGTTTTCGCCTCCGTAGGGAAGGACTGGCAACATCATCAGTCCCGACGGTCAGCCGATGTTCCATTTTGTTGAAATCCCCAACGGCCTCTGGTGCACGAATGCGCAGCTCACATAGTATCTGTTAGTTCTTTAACAGCTCGTTTCTTTTCCGTGATATTTTATCACTAGTCCGGATTTGCCAACAACACTTGGACTTCTCCCCTGTTGTTGGCTAGAAAAAGTGCACAACCTTATCCATGTTGATGGTGTGTCTTGACTTGGTCATCGTCGAGGCGTTGTGGCTCATCCTCTCCGTGCAGCGAATGCACAGTCATCCACCAACAAGTAGCAATGAAGCAAATGGGTCCTTTATTTCCAGTAGCTCCTGCTGCATTCCACCTGCACCCTACTATTTGGTAGTTAATCAGGTTCTGCGTGCATATTGCTAGATTACCAGCAAATTCGTTCTTCACATCTCGCTATAGTCGATCGTGCATCATGTCTCATTTGTCCTTTGAACGCTGATGCAATAGAGCGCCAAAATGCTTTACTACATCTGCAATACGTTTACAAACTACAGAACCACTCAGTTACAACAGGTCGATAGGTAAAACATAGACCAATTATATTCCGAAGTTGTTCTCTCCATAGGAGGTCGGGCCAATGTATCCGTAGCTCTCTACCACCAAAGGAAGACAAAATAGTACGTCTCGGAAGAGCAACTCAGTTGTCGTCGAGCACTCGTCTCACGATTGTCGCTGTTTACTGCGTGACAACGCAGCTGGTGCGCACTGTTTAGCTATTACTTACCAACGTTCCACGTTAGAATGATTTTGATTTTAATTTTCTTGTGCATTTTCCATCCTGTGGGTCTTGTAAAGTTTTACTTTTTATCTCATCATACGCTATTGAACGAAGTACAAATTCACATATCGTATATCGTAGTCCCAATATTTTTTATCTTCCAGTGTTGCCCGTGATCGATTTCAAGCAGACCTTTACTGAACCCCGCAGCTAAACTTAGCATCTAAATCCAACTACCGTGTGGGACAGCTCAGTGAATAAGAGGCTTAGCTTGGGTCCCCAAGCAAATGTAGATGATCAGCGTATTGGATCAAAGACTCGAAATAGGTGTCACTCATTGAGAATACTTGTAGCTAGGAGGATGGATGATAAAGTTTAATTGTTCCTCAATCTAGGTGTTTTTGTTGCATGCAACGTCCCTGTTTGAACCTGTACTTCGACACGCTTTAGTCATCTTCTTGGACCGACCACTCGACGCGTTGTGGCTGCCACAGGTTAGTCTGTAGATGCTTTATAGGTGCTGGATTCCGAAGTCATCCTCATCATTATACACGCTAGCTGCAGGTGGGAAACATCTCAGCTATGGCGCCGCATTACAAAAGAAAAGAAAAAAAGTAAAATAGAGGCATGCGAGCTGAATCACCAATAACGGATGGACATCGTTCCGGAGAGCTGACAGCCGGTTTTCGTGCGACGCCATTGTAGGATGCCGCAAAGTGACAGAGATTTGCATTCCCATTGATATGCTTTGAGGTTCCCACATTTAAATAACGAAAGAACAGCAAAGGACTGCGAAGGAAGCCACCTTGATGCCAGTGGGCTTTTGTGGGGAAGTTCAAAGTTAATGTAACGTTTTTCCGGTTGGTGTACTTTTGTATGCTTTGATCAGTGCAGCTGCTAGAAAATGCCAGTTGACTATGTGTAATGTTTTACCGGTGCTTCTGCAACAAATATACACCTATGCGTAAGTACAAGATGATGTTCATGTGTGTCTCCACACCGGTACACTGGCCGCACCATGTTCAACCCACAGGGAGTTCCGATTAATCTCTCTATTCGAGCGGCCACCCTATTTTGACTACTTCGGCTGGATTATGTCTCTTGGAATTCTTTGCCATTGCTTCCCTCAACTATGTACCTTAAATCTTTTCTGGTAAGCTGAAGTTACTGGTTGCTACGGTGCCGAAGCGAACACCTTTTACATTTGAAACTGTCTGTCCGGTCCGTGGTACTGGGTCAGCTTTGCGCCGGTAGACCAACTAGAAGCTGTACAGTACGACCACCACCATCCTCTGTATGCGTCGATGTGGTGCAGACAATTATTTATTCCCTGTCACTCGCAGGAATCAATAGTTGGCATGAACAGCTGACTTCTTCTAGAATGTAAGTGTTGAATCGTCCCGAACCCCAATACTTCCTTCTAACTCGCGTTTACTTTTAATTCTAATCAAAATCCCCTGACCGCACGTTTTTGTTGCAAAAAACTGCCGTCACAACGATTCACTAACTGAAGGATTGGGTCATGCTGTTACCGCTTTTGGGCTCAGTGACGTTTTTCTCTAAGTTAGCAATTAATTGCTGATCTGTCATGCTTAAACGCTTGAGACGTCCTCTTGAGCTGCTTGGCTTTACCAAATCGTCCGCATTCAGAATAAATTGATTCAAGTTATCAACTTTGTCGTTACTGCGCGCCACTGCCTTCCAGAGTTGAACTTTTCAAATTACCTCCTTTCCAACGTACATGCTGACACCCTTTGATTTTAACAGGTCATCATGCGATGTGACTTCTTTCACTCGAAGCACAACTTTGTATCATGACAAACGTATCCCTTGAGAAGCCGCGTCTAAGGAATGTGTCAAGGCTTCCTCTATGTCGAACCATCATTTTTTGCTTAGATCGGTGTTCAGTCGACAATGCAACCAGTCTTATTTAGACCTTCTGAGGCCTCAGTCAGACAGCCAGACGTCATCGCGAATATGGCCAGTAAAATGACTCCTTTAGCTTCCACTTTCAAAATCGGGATGATTAACCAAGCTTCATGAAGAAACATATTCGGTTTATTTCTGGCAGAACTTCATCTAATTTTTGTAATCACTTTGTCCTTTCCGGAATTGCTCAGTGTGATAATCTGATAATCAGATGAACCTTCGTTTCGGCCGCTACTTTGCGAATCTGTCTTTTGTGTTAAAGGCTAGAGGTAAGTCTCCTCGAACGGACTCCGGAACGGGCTGTCAGCTGTTGGCTAACCCCAGTCATCACTGCTTTTTGCACTCCCTCCGTTTCATCTCTACTGTGGATATATTTCCTGCAGGGTTAACCAGCAGAGGGCTGTCCAAATCGCACTACCCACGTTGACCGTGTTATTACGACATCTTACAAAGCAGGAGTCTCAATTCAATGCGAATTTTTCACTACTTGCGCCGTATACCACGTTTTCCAATGGGCGATTGTTCTGACTCTGTGGTCTTCAAGAGTTACTGCCTTTAGTTTCCAAAACATGCACAATAATTACAGCTACCTAACGAATCTTCAGCTACTTGACAACCACTAATCACCGGGTTTCTTCTTCGGCATTCATCGTTTTTGTTTCCGATGTGATCGTGACTTTTGTCTTATCGTTCAAGGCGACAACAGCCACCAAGATATTCGCTCATATCTTGCTCACTTCATTCAGACAATTCCTGCGATTACTTAGCATTAAACGGAACTGCTGCGACTGTCCTACTTGCCCTTGTCTAGCTAATCTCTCCATTCTGCAACTGCTTGCCTCGCTGTTGTATTGCACCGAGCTACCGGCTCTCATGTGCTCTTCAATATTCTTTTTGTTTTCTTTGTTTGCGTAATCGGATTCTCTCTTATCTATTCCCTTAGTTGTCCCACTTGCTTCTCTTGACAATTTCAAGTTCGACAGTATGTTTTTCACTTTACTGACTATACCATTGTATCTCATCCCTAGGCGCACTGAGCGCGAAAATACTGCAAATTTCGAAGGGCTGGTGGACCAGGACAATTTGATTCGTCAGAAAGAGGACGAGGTAGGTCCTCCTCATTCACCCGGGACTCACTGTTGTGTTGCACGATTTCTTACTCTTTGTTCGGTTGCTATGGAACTGTTTCTGTTGTAGTCATCATCATCAATACACGTTAGCCGAGGGGGAAAAACACACTATTGCAAATGGGCCGCACTACAAAAGGATGAGAGATTAAACACTACAGAGTACAAAAGTCAGAAACGTTACGTAAGGCTAAAGACACATTATCCATTGGGTTTGAGATCGTTGTTGGAGGGGGAATCTAAATGGAAGGGGATGGACAAAGAGGCACACGACAAAAATGCCATTGAAGTCGGCTCTTTGCCATGTCAGCTAGTGTATCCAACCAAACGTGTTCATCGTCCTTGGAACCCCAGCGAGGCAGTCGGGAAGCACCAACCGACGCTTGCTGTTGTATTCACTGATGTATTTATGGCTTTTCGATCGACATCTTCCAGACGGCACAGTACTACCTTCGGAGTACCGAGCAAATTCCCGGTTCATTTCCACCCAATCACCCATGCATATCCGTTGACAATGCATGCCAGTTTCACGTTATGTGTGACATTAGGCGTGACTGTGCGCTCTAGTTTATTACTATTCTCTTTAGCAGTCCTGTCTGATGCATCAATTCCCCTGCTGTTTCCCGTCGTCAATTTTCAATTCTCTACGATTGAGCATAGTGTTACTGTTAAGGATCGTCCTAGCGGAGTTAACCACGGTCATCCTCAAGTAGACTTCGCGAAACCGTTATCATAAACTGGACACATGCTTTTCTTCTCAGAGTCCAATCACCCTGTTTCGGCCGTCACGTAGTTTTAACAAGACGCCTTATCTGCCTCATACCACATGTTGGATAAGAGCAAGACTCATTCCTCTTATCCATCTCCGACTTTCATTACTAATACAGCGTTAGTGACAGCAACTGTTGTGCTGCTGTATTTTCGCAATCCACATGCATGTCTGCGCGGTACCAAATAGTCTTCTGTCACTTCTAACCCTTTGTCTAACTACTTTTTCGTTGCATACAACGCTTAATGTGAAACTTCCTGACCATCTATATCATGTTTCTCAGTGACCTATCAGATTGTGGTAAGTGCGCATAACCATACCAGGTCGTTTTGCAGTTCGTACTACTCTTTCTGTTTAAAGCAGCTGGAGCACTCACCATTCTCAGTAATTGAGCTCTTTTACTCTCCCACCTTTCAGGAGAGCTATGATGTGAAAACGCTTCTGTAATTGTGTATATCTAACCGCAAACTTGTTTCTTGGCGAATTGTTTAAACGCTCTTCCTCATTATTATCGACCAATATTTTATTGCATATGTTTTAGCCGTGTGACCACGCAAATTGATCTATTTCGCTGAAGATCCCTCGCTGCCTCAATCACTTGCGTTGCATGATTATTTCCTGTGCCCACACGGCTTCTACCTCTTTCTGTTTAATTTCCCGTTGTCTAGCTTCAACGCATGCAACAAATGGTGCAGCGAATGCAGGAGCAGCTCAAACGTGGTACAGTGACAGCTGCGCAGCCGCCCACTCCGGGGCCCAATGTTGCCCCGATTGTTAACGCGAATGTAAACAACCTGTAATCCAGGCACAACACACTTTCCCCGTGCTCTCCGCATTTCGTACTCGAAATTGTGCTTTAATCCGTCACACAAACCCATGCTTCTTTCTCCTACTTATATCTGCGCTGCATTTGTGTTTGTTCCTGACCCACGCCAGCCACCTAAAGCTTCATGTCTAGACCGCCAGCTCGCGTTTACAGCATTTCCTTACCTGTTACTTTGTGTACTCAACTGGTTTGTTTCATTTGTGCAGCTTTTGTATCTCTCTCCTCCTCTGCCTTGGCCTTGCTTGACCTGTTACTCCTTGACAATCATCACTAGCTGCTACGACTGTCGTTGTTCTCTCTCCGCATACTTCATGCAAGCATTACGCAACGGCAGTTCGCACACCGATGTATCTGTGCAATCCGTCTGAAGGCGATCCCCTTTTGGTGTATCGTTCTTCTTGCCGTTTACGATAATAACCGTCTTACTACACAGCTCTGTTTTCTGGTTTTGTCTCGGCGTAACAAACCTCATCCTCGATCCCACGGGTGCTAATATAGCTGCCCAGGTATTTGAATTCCTGGTCGATTTCTGTCTGATCGCCACCAAGGATTAGCGCAGGAGTGGGTCCCTGGCAATCTCGGAGAAAGACTTTTCATTTCGATGGGGCAAGGCATAACCCAAAACGATTGACAGCCAGTGCTAATCGGTCCATTGCTGTTTGGCATGTTTGGGAGCTGTCACAGATTATGGCAATATTGTCCGCATACTCCAAGTCAAGAAGTCGCTCACCAGGAAGTAGCTCCACACCTTTTAGGTCGTGTCCAGCGAACGCTGCTTCCATGACTTCATCAATAGCGAAGTTGAAGAGGAAATGTGACAGCGGACATCCTTGTCTCACGCCGCTGGTGATACTGAAGGGTGGCGACGGTTTGTCATAAACCCACACTTTGCCCGAATTATGCGCACACAGTGCTCTGATGACATTTGCATATTTATCGGACACACCTTTCCTCAGCAGACAATCCCAAACGGCGCATCGATCAAATGTATTGAAGGCACCCTTGATATCGAGAAACATGACAGCCTTGAGTTGTCAGTAAGTGTGTTAGTGCTCCAACAATTGACGCGAAGTAAAGTTGTGGTCGATGCAACCTCGACGAAACCCGGCTTGCTCTTCACGAATCTGGCTTTCACGAGTGCCAGTCAGTCTGTGGAGAATGATAGACGCAAGCAATTTAGAGGCAATTAAGATCCGGTGGATTCTTCTATAGTTACTGCATTCCGAACGAGAGCCCCCCCTTAAAAATTGGGACTACGACGGAGCGGCTTCAGTCTGTCAGGACAGTGTTTTACTTCCAAACTTTCACTAGTAACTTATGTAAGTCATCTACAAGAATAGGTCCCCCGAATTTGTAGAGTGCTGGGGGAATTCTATCTGCTTTTGTGGCTATATGTAATTTCAACAGTCTGATCTCACGTTCGACTTTTGCGCATGAGGGCGGATCCAAAGAGACGGCCCATGGAGAAAGACATCCAATGTCCGAAAAAGGAACTGTTAACCCAGATTGGTTAAACTACCTTGCAAAGTGTTCGGCCCAATGCTCCAAGCGTTTTGACAAGCTGTGAATCGGTTATCCACTGTCGTCACGTATTGTTTCGCTGACACCAGGTCTCCTGCTGCCTGTTTCCCGTATCAGACAGGAAAGCACGATGATTACTAACGGCAGTGGCTGCTTCCATTTCCGATGCGCCATGACACTACCAGGTTTCGCAGTCTCTTCTGGCTGCATGCGGTTTTGCCTTGGGATTTTTGCTAGTCTCGTTGTATTTGCTTCCAGCCAGAATACCTCGGCAAGCATCCATATGGTCCAGACACTGTGTAGAGGCGCAATGTCCAGGTTGGCTATTTGATTTGCCTCACGAAGACATGCCTGGTGATAGTAACGTTTGATGAATATAGAACCATTGATCTTCAGCAGTGTTCAGTGGGTGCTTGCTCTGCCCAGTTGCCAGCGCACTTTGATAACCATTCAGAACACCTGACTCCTCCAGTTGGCTTGTGTCCATGGGGTCACAGAGACGTTGCGGACGTCCGTCGAAACGCACCTGAAGGTCGGCACACACGAGAGCATGATCGGAGTCCACCTTGGTGCTCCAAATCGAGCGACAGTTTTAGGTACAACTGATTGCGATGTGATTGCTTTGTGTCCATGGCTGGTCTGAGGCTGGTGGACGCCAAGTTACTCTTACGCGGGTGATGTATGGACAGTTATTGCTCGCGAGATAGAGACGAGCCTCTTCACGCAGGTGTAGTAACCGTTCACCAGTATCATTACTGGAGCCTGCACCATGTTGGCCGCCCAAATGAAGCTTATCAGAGGAGAATTTTCTAACTTGGGCGTACAGATCACCAGCACGCACCACAGTATCCGCACTCTTTTTGTAACGAAGGGGATCGTTAACTTTCACCGAATCAATGCTGTAGTTTGTGGGGGCATAGGCCCAATGCCAAACAGGCACTGTTTGTCCCCGCGCAACTTCGAAGCCTGGAACGAGGCAGCCAATCTAACCGTCCACATCCGGCTGTTGACTGGTATCCAGTCGATCAGGGCAACTTCAGCCGGCGAATCAAAACAATGCCAACACCGGCACTTCAAGCTGCGTCATCTCCAGACAGGTGCATTGAGAATGTGCCACATGTGGGGGTTGCAGGGTAAGCATGGAGTTCGAATCTTGCACGTGGGTTTCCGATAAACAGCAAATATCGACCGAATGTGTCTCGAATGTTCGAGCAAGTGCTGCCTGTTGGTCAATCTATAGTAAGGCGGGCACGTTGAAGCATGCCAGTCTTTGCGAGGATCGAGGAATCCAAAGGGAAACGGATGAACTGGTGTTGCCCGCTTGGTTGAACATGGACTTTTCGTAGGGACTGGAGTGACATCCTGTGATTGCGTGTGAGTTGTAACTAGAAGACAAGCGACTATTGAAGTAACATGGAATAGGGCTAAGGATTGACGGTTTGAAAACCAATGGGATGAAAGTGAAGTTGGGACTGGACGCTAAAGCTGAAAAAGCGCAAGAAGCGATAAAAAGAATGGACGTCTTGGGCAGTAGCATCCAAACCCCTATCCACCTCGTAGGGTGCCGTTTATTATCTGCGACGACCAGAGGATCAAGAGATTGTTAGAGCGAAATGTCATTGTGTGTTACGTGGGTAGGATACTGTTAGGTTGCCCAGGCCTAGACAGGGGAACGGTTAGGGGTCCCAGCGAAAACAGCGGGGTTTGGGCACTGGGCTACAGAGAATCCGTTTTATGGAGTAAGAAACCACCATCACTCCAACCCCTAATCTGAAGTGCCAGGAGACTGACTTAGTCTGGCCTCTAACCATTGACTAATCTGATATGAATGGCTGTGAATGTGCAAAAAGCACTGCCTAGCATAGCTCAGTGGGTCACTGAGGCACACAAACCATGGTACCACGTCAAGGTGTAATCTGATCGCGCGTGTTACTGAAAATAGAAAAACGCTCACAAAATCGGTAAAACTTACAGGAAATTCTGTCTGTCTACCGAGTCGGTCGATTGTCTAGGGTTAAGACCAAGTATGCGGAGGGTCCTTGGGAGCTTGGTGTTTGAGGTTGTTCACTGCTATGGAAAGTCAGGAAAAGGTTTATGCACCCAGGTGGATGCATTTTCAGCGTTTTACCCTATCTACCACAAATGTGATAACACAGAATCAGTAAATATTAGAATTTTACAATTTTAAAAGCAGTATGGGTAAAGAGTGCATAGATGGCACTTAAGTAATCAGTCTAGCATCTTTGAGTAACGACCGCATATCGTTAGAACGAGCTCTAAGATTTTTCATCCAGTTGATGAGGCCAGCTTTTGTTCAACCGTGTATTGCTAGCTCGTTTCATTTAGATAAAAGCGGCAAACTGAGACTTATGTGCTGTGTTTCGGATACTTTTTCAAACAATCGTTGGAGTTGAGCGGCCTCGGTGACGTTGGAATTGTTCAGCCAAAGCATTCGTCAAAATATTCTTCCAAAATTGATGCGTTTGCAGTAGATAGCGCAAAAAGTTGTTTTGGGGAAGATCGGCAGCGGCCATTCCAAAGGCCCCGCCTAATTACCGCAAGTGTGAGTGCTTGAGTAGAAGCGATAGGATGGATTGGAACTGGGTCGTCTTCAAAGAATGCCACTTTGAGGCATTCGACGGATACCGTTGGTCGATGACCATCCTTGTTTAAAGTCAAATGCTTTGAATTTCGTTGTCGAACTATGAGGTGGCCAATTTAGAGGGCTGAAGAGGGATCCGCACTGCAGATGGAGAAGTGAGTGTAGGCGTACGGCCCGCTGTGCATGTGCACATCTTTGGTCCGCTCAGGAGGAGGTAATGCATGCATTGGTCATGGGTGGATGCGTTTATTTTATAAGTTCTTCTTCCATGCTGCTTCGCCTGTCTTTCTAACCCCGATCTCGTAGTCAATGCATGATACTAAAAAGAAAAATATCATTTGTGCTGTTGATCGCCCATTATTTTATTATTTTTTTGACTATCTTGCTACATAGCATTGCTGTACAGTGACTGAAATATTTCTCGCCTCTAACAAGCGTGTAGAATCATAAAGGTCGCGAGTAAGTTTGGAGAGGTAATCATTTAGCAAAAGATTAGAGAATATTGAATACCAGAAGCGTGCAGATCTTACAACATCAATTCGCAGCTACCACATCCAAAAGCCGTTGATGTAGTCGAAGAAGCAGACAAGTATGGATCCTCAGGTGTGTGAATGCACTGCACAAGAACGAACAAACGTCGTGTATAAAATAGATTGTAATAATTGTGAAATGAACTATGGGGAACAGACAGGAGGGAAACTATCCACAAGAACATCAGACGTCTTGTAAAAAACATTATGCATCATCTCTTGTCTCGGCGCATCTGGATGAGGAGGGACATGGCTTCAATTGGAACAAACCGGAGGTTTTTGCTCAAACAACAACACAGCAAGGAAAAGAGTTCCTAGAAGCATGGTACTCCTCTAATAATTCGATCAACATGCGCCTCGACATCGACCCCGTGTACCATCAGCTCAGAAAGAAAGATCTCCGGCGAATAGAAAGACATTGTTCAGCTGCGGAAGCATATGTGCAGAGATCACGTGGCGCAAATCGAAATTGCCACCTTCAAAAGTCAGCTGCCCGTTGATGACGGACTGACGATTCAATAAGCATAAGTATACACTGCATATCACCGCACTGAAGATGCCACCTCGCAATCTAGTGAAACGTATGCAATTCCTTTATCAAGCTCGGAGAAACGATCAACAGGTGAGCAAGCCACTGCGTCTTTTGTTGGACCTAAACTTCCATAAGCAAGCTGTTAGGGGGTCCTCGAAGTGCAAGCAATAATCCGATGTTTACGCGTCTCTTCCTTCAGTACTGGCGTTATGTTTGCAATCCTCCATCAAACCGCGAATTTACTTTGGTTTAGTCACATTGTGTACACTTAAGCCAGAAGCTGGGTTTAGGGATCTGCAGATTGCCTGAGGAGGATATTAGACAACCGGTTATGACGCAGGTGACGGTACTAAAACAAAATTTGGGTGATCAGCTTCCTGATCAAGTTAACAAGATTTGTGGGAGGGGGAGGGGGAGGGAGCGGGGGAGCGGGGAGGGTTGAGGGTGGGAGGGGAGG